CTAATTTGGAAATTTTAAAATAATCATTTTTCTTTCAAAAGTCATGCATAAAAAAAGAAGGCAACTCCTATATAAAATTTAAATATTAAGAATCTAGTGATTAATGTATTGTCTCCATTACAAGCAATGATGTACACTCAAAAACTTCTTTTATTTTTTATAAATATTATTTGGTAAACATATTTAATAAGAATCTCTTTAAATAGTTATTTTAAACCTTCTTATATATAAACCCAAATTATACAAAATAATAATAATTTCATGACAGAAACTAAATCGCTTTGGAATATTTGATGAGTCAATATGTTGTATATAGAAAATTACTCCTTATGGCCTCATTTGGAAAGGCGTTAAAAGAAGGGTTTTAACCCTTCTTAAACCATCCAAACGGGTTAATTTGGTCGAAGGGTTAACAAACCTTTTACAAAGGTTAAAGTTAGTTAATCCTCATTTAGAGGGAATAACAAATCCGCCTAAAAAGGAGGGTTAACAGTTACTCCCTCTGGAAATAAGAAATTAGACTTTAAAAAGTAATATACTTTAGGATATTTATGACAACTAACCTCCTTAATCCTTCTTTATTTTCCAAACACAAAAAATTTACCCCTTAATCTTGACTATCAAATCCAAATGGGATTAAATTATTTTTAACCTCTCGCGAAGGGTTAACTAAATAAAGTCCTTTAACCCCTTGTCAAACGGCATCTATAAGTATGTAAATATTATCCCAAAATGCTAATATATAAGCCGAGTGATAGGGATGTAAATTACTCCTCCTAAGTATGTAAACATTATTCCAAACTGCTATGTGGTATTAAAACTAATGTTTGTAAAGATACCTTACAAGGATGTTTATTCCAAACTCATTGAAATCACAAAGAAACAGAAGCCTATGAAGTTGTTTGAGGCTGTTCATTATTTGGCCAAACTAACTTTTAAGCTAGTTTTTCATTTCTACCTGTTTGGTAAAATATGAAATGAATTAGTTTATAAGTCACATTTTAAAAAGTTAGTATACCCCAGTTTTTGAAAAACTAACTTATAAGCTCATCTAAATAAGCTAGATTTGACCAAAAAATTACTATACTACCCAAATAAATTTTATAATATTTTTATCATAAAAGTCAAGAGCCACTAAAAACTAGAATAACTAGTAAGCTTCAAAAAAATAAGCCTTCACAAACACCCTTTATATCTCATAGAGAAGAGTATATATGTCTATTACTCACTCATGAAGGTATGTTTATAATTTATTATACTTGCAACAAAGGAAATAATGTTTTGGTGCTACAATAATAAATGTCCAAACACATAGATACTCTCCTCTATCTTTCATGAGTGAACATTGTCTGTGCTTACATTTTACTAAACACGTTTTGATAAGTAATAAGCCATGTAAATGTCCATAAATGCTATTTACTTTCATGAGTCTGCCATTTATTTACCTTCATAAGTATGCAAATATTATCTTTATAGTCATGTAAATGTCCATTTATGCTTATAGTTTATGCATATATGCTATTTACCTTTATAAGATGATACAGACGATGCAAAGGAAACACCGTTAAGACACAATAGAAATTCTGACTAGATGTACAATAGAAAATTTCATTGCCAAGAAGAAAGAAATAACTCCTAACTTTAATATGTAATAATATCCCAATCAATTTCCAATGTATAATACTAACTTATGTTCTAATTAAAATAGAAAAATTATCAGAGTTTGTACTTCCAAAAGTTGTGTTAACTAGGGAGAAACATTCAAATTCCTTTGACAAGAAGTCATAGGATGACCATATAAACGAAAAGGTAATTGCACAAGAATTTGCTAATTTTTATATGGAATATACAAATTTACATGATGGGTGATTTATTACTACAATGTTATATTTTAAGGCTCTAAACTTCACTATTTATCTGGAAGGCAGTAGATTGAAATCAACTAGGTTACTCATGTAGGCATTCAAATATTTTAATATATTTTATAGTAACCATAAACTATTTCATTGCTAAGCTATAGTAAAGAAATAAACCTAAAAGAAATAAATGATATATTTTACCACGTGCAATGCACGTGCATCCTCCATACATATATATAAGTTGGGCTAGGCTACTATTAATAGTGTCTAACATGCAGATACTATCAACCCATTTGAAATTTTGAAACCCAAAAATGAAAATCCAAACCAGTGGATTGGATCTACTGCATATGAACTATCTATAAATAAATTTTCAAAAGTTTTCAACATTATTAATCCATATATAAGATGTTGTCAAAATCAACGTTTCAAAATTTTCATAAAGTTGCTTAATTCTTTGCCCCTTGATATATGACTCAAAACACATTGAAATCCTTAGAATTTTAGTTTTTAGGTACTTCATGTGTAGTGGATCACATCCGCCCGTTGGGATATTCATTTTTAGATTTCAAATTTCAAAATTGGGTTCACAGTATTTGCATGTTGAATACTATTAATACTAGCCGAGCTCCCATTACCCAAACTTTTACATATTTGTCTCGTACCCACACTTGTATCTATGCAACATAGATTTGCACAAATATAAACTAACATTACTCTGCCAAGTTCAAACATGAAAGGAAATAGAGATCAAAACAGGGGGATTGGGATATTACCATAAACAGTCAACCATCAAACTGATCCCATAAAATTTCCAAAAGATCATAGAAGTACATAAGAGATCTTGGTTTCACTAATTTAGATATCAAAGTCTATGCTTTAATAGAACGGAAAAATGCCATAAAATGTCACTTGTATAAAAGTATTGATTTTAGATAAGTTCCAGTTATACAAGATGAGAAAATTTGAAGAATCCAGACTTATTCCTTTTGCAAAGCCATATTGTATAGCAGGTTGAAATTAGCACATATGCAATTCTTGTAATGTATAATAGTATGAAATATACTGAGTTTTGGACCAAAGTAGCTTCATTTCAAATTTAAGCCAGTGACAGATTTATTTCTTCTGAAATTGGTAAATGGACATATTTCAATTCAAGGACCAAAAATTCCATATCCGAATCTAAAACTCAAGACGAAAAATTCAACATTAAAGCAAGCATGTTAGGTGTAGACTTAACCTCATAGAAATAGAATATTCATGTTCTACATATTCTACTTTTTTGATAGATTGAACTTCTAAGTTCTTCAATTATCAAGGGTAAATTTCAGAAGACAATGCATCCTCTTGGATAGTTGCCATTTAGCAACTTCAAAAAACATTGCTTTCTGTTAACTCCAAAGTCCTGACTGTTTCCTGCTGGAATAAACTACCAGTTCCTAGCATTCGGTTTCACCACAGAAAGAATGATTTGAGATGATAAAATTGATCCAATGAGAAAAAAGAAAACCAAAAAAAACGACAAAAAGGAAAACAGGCCAAGAGTAGTAACTGGACCTAAAAACATTAAACAAAGACCAAACTGTCAATCACAAACAAAAGAATTTTTTAAAATCAAGCCCATTTGATCAATATAAACACATAATTTTCTCCAAACATAAAAAAAGTCACATCACCCCAAACCATAAAAAGGATTCAATGGAGCCTTATGATTCGCTTCCTTTTCGTTCATATTGATCCTTCATTTTCCCGTTTTAAATCCAAAGAGAACTCGTATATAGAGCGTTTAGGATACAGAATTCTCAAAGTCAATGCTAGTCAATTTACTACTGATCATGAAAGGTGTTCCTGATTACTGCCATGTTTAAACCATTCTGATATACATAACGCAAAGTTTTTTTTTCAAAAGAGAAGTGTGCCATAAGAGGATGCTTCTGGATTAAACCATGGTTACGTAAGTTCTCTAACATGAGATCTTGCAAATTTTTTTCACTTAAGATATTTTCACAGTTATGCATTATGAAAATTGGATAATCCAACAACTTGAGGTTAAGCAGGGATAAAACAGAAACACAAGAACCAACTGGCAATGCTCTACAATCATGTAACTTAAATTCTAAAGGTTTAGTAGAAAAGCAAAAATTAGTCTTATGATCAGGGAGAAATTAAAAAAACCAAAAACAAAATTTTGTCTGTGATATGAAACTTGGCACCAAACTAATGAACAATATGATGGGATCTATATTTCAAACAGCTATTTACCTAGATCATTAGTGAACAGAGATAGGTAATAAAATTCAGACAATATTCAGACAAACTAAAACCTACCATAAAAAGGTTAACTTTGTTGACAGCAAATTAACCTCTGTGAGTTGTCTAATATAAATCTTCTATATTCTTTCGCTCAAGTTGTTTTCCAAATTTATGCTTTAAAATTGGATAATCCAACAGCTAATTAAATGGTTAAGCAGGGACAAAACGAAAACATTAGAACAAACTGAAAAGCAACAGAATCATATAACGTCAATTTATAGATTTACAGGCTAGAACAAAGTAACAATGCCCTACAATCATGTACATTGATTTATATGTTTAGTTAGAAAAGGTTACAGCTCACTCTATCGGAGGCAGTAAAGACTCAAGTGCAACCAGAAATAGCAAATAAATTGGTACCAAACAACTAAACAGGAGTATAAATATATTTCAAACAAATAAAGCATATTTGTCACTAGCTTCAATTTATAGGTTTATACGCTAGACCAAACTGGGAATGCTCTACAATGATTCACTTCAATTTATAGGTTAATTTAGAAAAGATTACAGCTTGCTTTATCAGCGAGAAAGCAAAGACTCAAGTGCGTCCAGAATAGCAAAATTGGTACCAAAGAACTGAAGAAGATCATGACCTATATATTTCAAACAAACCATATTTGTTGTTGGTGAACAGGTGACGAGTAATTACAGTTCATCAATCTTTAAGTGCGCTTACATTTACGACATTGCATATTTTTCTTAAAATGTTAACTAATGCTTTCTCCAAAGAAATTGAAAACATGTGAGAATAAATAGACTAGAATGTTTGCAGCTGAAGCATGTATAAGATGTTTGATCCCAGCAACTGCTGAGAATAAACTTGCTTACCAATTATAGTGGCAAAGAAGGACGCACGAATCAACTCTTGAAATAGAAAGCACATTTGACAGTCTAGCCACATCTTCTTCTTGGGATTTCTCTATGTCAACTTCACTCAGAACAGTATAGTTTTGCTGAAACATAAAAGTTGAAAGAATTAGATTAACTATTACTACTATAAAATGACCATATTTGGGATAGGAGTGTAGGACAAAGATTGAATGAGGACATCATGAAGAAAAATAGAGGCTGAAATGATAGTTTTACCTTAGGGTGACAAATATCGTTTCACATCTCTTTTTCTCAATAAAATAAATTTTTAATCTATTAATCATATAAAATGAACTATTTTGAAATTATTTATTTTATTCAGAAATTATCAAAATTAATTTAAAAAGGACAGCTTTGATGCAATAAATTTTTCAGTATATAAACTATATAAATAAAAAATATCAAATATAACTTAGAAATATGTATTATGTTAAAAAAATACAACAGGAGGTTTTCAAACATTAACTTAGAAATATTTTAGCTATATGTGTTTTTGTGTATGAGGTTATCAACTAGTACAGCTGACATACAATCTAGCTTATCAGATTTTTTTCACTACAAGTAGAAGTTGAAAGTAACAAATCAGTATATGATATTTGCAAATGTAAATTACCTAATCTTAGGGTGTGCTTGGCAACTTCACACTAGACCGGTTAAGGCCTTAACATGTATAGGATGGAACTAAAGTAGGGGTGGTCCATAGATAACCTAAATAAGGGCCTCTTTTTTAAACAAAAAAAAACTAATCCAATATTGTATGAGCTTTTGCCAAACAAAATTTAAGCTTTTATCCAACTTAGTGCCCTTATGCAAGTTCATGGCTGAGTTGCCAAACAAGCCCTTATATCCTAGTTCTAACAACATTAATGTGAGTTGCCAAACAAGCCCTTACATTCTAGCTCTAACAACAATAATGTGAAGCATAATTACTACACTAGGAGTGGATAGTTTGACAATAATCCATGCATTATTACCTGTGTTGAATGAGTACAGGTACGAATACTGGTGCATGTACTGGACAGGACAAATTTGTAAAAGGTAGGGTACGGGGACATTGCTATAAATATGTATGTTATGTACATTTATATACATGTAAAATTAATAATTTACATAAGATCATCATTGTTTTTTCATTTACATATAATCAATATATTAGAAATAGTTGTGAAGTGTAGAATATGCATTCAAGAAGTGTATGTCGAGTATGTTAAATTAAAACATGTATATATTTGAGATACACTTCAACAAATGTATGCATATATTCAAGAAATGTCTAAGAAATTTGGGTACAGGTACAGGTACATGTCGGGTATAGAAGTACCCAAGTAACATAAGTTATTACCTATGCTGAACTATGCCAAGTTATTATAGATTGGCAGTATTTAAATCCAGCAATTTATTTGCATCTGACAGAGTGCTTCAACTGACACTTTGATCCATATTGTATCATACGGATGACTGCCAATTCACTATATAAAGGTTTACATCTTTTCACCCTCTATTTAAGCAATTATAGAGGGTCACACCTTCGCCTCATGAGCGTAAAATGCCATGCCACCCCGTAGATTTTATCCACCAGCTAATGACTTCACAGCAAACCTCCCTCTTGCACGCAGTTTTAACTAAAGGGTCTGCACCAGCTCTTTGCTACCAGATGATTAAAATAAAGGAAAAAAGGATGCTTTTCCCTTCAGTTCTACTTTTCCTCATCCTCTCCATGATCCTAATAAAAATACTGGACTGGTATATGGTAAATAATCCCCTAAATATAAACGGATACAACATGCTAACGATCAGAGTTTATACTAAACTTCTCTCCTAATAAAGTACATCAGATAAAAAAATCCTCCAAACTAGGTAATTCAAAAACAAGAACCATCTTTACCTTGAAATTCTTCTTCAACTATTAAACATTAGGTAATTCAAAAACAAAGAACCATCTTTACCTTGAAATTCTTCTTCAACTATTAAACAATCTAAAGAAGAACAAAAAAAGTTTCGTCTTTACCTGCCGATGAGAAGGGCGATCATCAGAATCATCCGACTCCTCGTCGCCGTAGACGTAATCATCATCATCATCGACGAGATCCTTATCATCGCTCCCAAATCCGACATCCTCGTCGCTGTAGCAGTCGTGCATCTCTTCATCAGAGTCCATATATTCCCCCAATCCGAGAACCCCGATCGATCTCTAGCAAGGAAACCCTAGGGTTTGAGCGGATTTTGACGGAGACGATGGATACATAGGGTTTTTGACTTTGTTTAATGGGGTTTTTCAGTTTGAGAAGGTTGCAGAGGGGTTTTTCTGTACCTTTTGTACCGATGGCCACCAACCGGAAGACGGTAAAAGAGGAGATTTGTTCATACGTTTATTTGCATATATATACCCCTAATTGATGGGCATTTGGAACGTATCCTCCAAATCTTAATGTTTGCAAAACCACCCCTCAAATCATCAATTTTGAAAAATATTACGCTCAAAAGAGTTAACCATCAACTTTGATAAGCTAATTTATAACCATAATGTAAATATTATCAACAAAATAGTCAAATTCTTTTAGCATCCAAGTTGATGATTTATTGATTTTAAGGATGTTTTTTTTCACAAAGTTGATGACTTGAGGAGTAGTTTTGTAAATATTAAGATTTAAACGGTATTTAGATAAATACCCATGATTTAAAGAATACATATGTAAATAATCCTTTTTATAATTCTGCATGTGCAACATAAGGGTAGGTGTGGGTCAGGCGAGGCTTAACCCATGAACCTTCTCGCTAGTTTTGGGTCCGAACCGGTTCAAACCTAGGCCTTTGTGGCCCTGGATGGGCTGGGACGAGAACTTTGTCCTCGAGTCTGGAACTAGACCCAGCCTGGCTCAGGACCGTCTTAGACCCTGGACGGGACCGACCCCACCCCCAGCGATTCATGTCGCGTGTCAACCCGTATTCTTTTTTTTAATACAATTTTTTTACTAGATTAGCATGGATAATTTAAAGAGAGAAATGTGTATATAACTTTACAATTTTTGATAGAGTTATCTCAATGGATAAAACTAGGGGTGGGAACCGGGTCGACCCGACCCATATAAATTTTGACCCGACTCTTATTTGACCTAACCCGACCCATCAAAATAATTGAGTCAACCCATTTATTAAATAGCTTACCCATCGACTCAAGTGATCCATTTAATTCTTTTATAATTCTTATATACATAACAAAGAGTCCATGATCAAAGTTTTTTGGTCCTTTTTATCATTCATAGGTTTTGTACTATTTAGAAGTTAAGACATTTTTAAGGTGTTTTTGGTAAAATTTGCATTTTAAGGGTGTTTTTTATAAATTTTAAAGGTTCTATTGTGCTTCTTCAAATATTATTTTCTCAATGGATTTTGTTTCTAATTTATAAACTTTATACTCTTTGTAAGTTTTGACTTTCAGGGTTTTTTCCAAATTTTGAATATTTAGGGTGTTTTTATAATTTTTGAAGCTTTTAGGGTGTTTTTTGCAAATATAAAATTTTTTACTTTGCTCTTCATAAGCTCAGTTGTTGTACTGATTGTAAGTTTCCTTATTTCTGGCGTGTATTTCTATAAACTATAACTTTTTAGGGTATATTTTGCAATTTTGAAAGTTAGGGTGTTTTATGCAAATTTAAAATTTTCTTGTTGCTATTTATAAGTGATAGATTCTATACTATTTGTAAGTTTTGATATTTAAGTGGTGTGCTTCTGTGAAATTTGACTTTTCAGAGGGTGTATTTTGTAATTTTGAATCTTTTAGGGTGTTTTTATAAATTTCAAAAATTTCACGATGCTATCTATAACCTATAGATTTTGTGTTCTTTGAATTTTTGAGGGTTTATTTTATAATTTTCTAAACTTTTAGGGTGTTATTTTACAACTCTCAAAAATCTCACAATGTTACTTATAACCTATAGATTTTGTACTTTTCATAAGTTTTGATATTTTTCAGGCATGTTTCTATAAAAGGTTGACTTTTGGGCTTGTATTTTATAATTTTTGAAATGTTTATGGTGTTTTTTACAAAACTTTCCGTGGGTCTTTGTAATTTATAAATTATAAAATTTTCACTATTCCTAATTTTCAATTTTTCATATTTTTAAAATTTTAACTTATTTTGGGTTTTTTGCAACTTTTGAAACAAACAGGGTGTTTTCCTACAAAATTTAAAACTTTCATGGTGCTATTTATAAGTTATAGATTGTGTAGTGCTTGTAGCTTTTGATTTTTTTTTGTTGTGTTTTGTAAAATTTGACTCATTTAGGGTTTTTTGTAAAATTTAAAACTATTAGAGTGATTTTTACAAATTTTAAAATTTCATGGGGATGTTTATAAGTTTTAGATTTTGTAATGTTTGTAGGTTTTGAATTTCTAGGGTTTGTTTTCATAAATTTGACTTTATGAGGGTGCATTTTATGGTTTTGAAACTTTTAGAGTGTTTTTTGCAAATTTTAAAAAATTTTTGTGTTATTTATAATTTATGGATTTTTGTATTGTTTTCTCAGTTTCAATATGTTCATGGTATTTTGTAAATTTTGTACTTTTTAGGATGTTTTTAATGTTTGCACCTCTAAGGGTGTTTTCTACAAATTGTAAAAATTTTATAGTGTTATATGTAATTTACTGATTTTGTAGTGTTTATAAGTATTGATATTTTTGTGGGTGTGTTTTTAAAAGTTTTGAATATTAAGAGTTAAATGGTAAATAGGTTAAAGTTAAATGGGTTGGTGGGTTGACCCGTTGATGACCCGATTAATAAATGAGCTCATAGGGTCGACTCATTTATGACTCAACCCATATAAAGTAAATCATACTCATTTATAAGAGGTCGAGTCGGGTCAGGTCAGCGGATCGGGTCATAGATTGTCACCCCTAGATAAAACATTCACAATAATTTAAAATCTCTACCACTAAATTTACAATTCAAACCCCCTAAAAATTACAATGTTCAATTGAGTTCCACCTCGTACCATGCCAAAAACTCTTTAAAAATATGGTAATGTTTTATCAAATAACTACATTAGTAAATTTTTATTTTTATATATGTTGTTTTGGACTGTGAATTGTATTATTAGTCTTTTTTTACATAGCATAAGTTGCTTATGAAATTGTGGCGTCAGTGATATATCCATAGCATCTTGAATAGTTTCTGTTGAACATCAGACCCAAAAAAATAAAGAAAAGAGAAAAAGAAAGTCTACATTTAAAAAATATGAATTACCACGTGTTAGTTTGGCCCATGGGCTATGGCTTATGGGTAGGTTTTTTTACGGGATAGGTTGTCATGAATATCATAAGTATAAAATAAGTTGGATTGAATTATTTTCAAACCTATAATTAGGGTGGGCTGGAATTTCCTATGGAAAAAATGTGTTTCACCCAAAACAGCCCTGTTCGGGTTGGTCTGGGTGTGGGCCAGGCCTATTTCTTTGCCCACATCATTAGAGTGAAACCCAATCCGACCCATGATCCATGTATACTACAGGCGGGTTGGGCCCGATCTACTGTGGAAGAGGCCAGCTCTTGACCCAAGGCCAGCTTTTAGCTCGCGGTTTGAATCGATCCACGCCTACCCCTAGTGCAGGAGTCTTATTGGCACATGAAGTTCTCATTGTGATTTTTTTTTAAATTTGGGTAGGGAGAAAAGAGAGCTTCTATAATAAGTTTTGCATTTTCTATTAGTTCTCCGCTGTAGCCCAATAACTGAAAAAGCCCACGATAACTACAGCCACGAAATCTATAAAGGTCATATTTGGTTGGTTTCTTAGAAACCCCAAAAAAGAAAAAGGAGAAAACCACTTTTGATTTAAAATTATTTCTTAAAAAATCTTTATTTGGTAAAATACCAAAATAAATTAGCTTAGAAGGCCAATTTTAAAACGCTAATATACCCAGCTTTTGAAAATCTAGCTTATAAGATTACCTAAAGAACTTAGGTTTGACTAAATAAATTATTAATCTACCCAAAAAGCTTTTGTAGAGGAAAACTTCAAAATTTTATAAAGGAGGATAATTTTATATTGTGCCCATATTCTAGCGCATGTAATGCGTGCAAGAAATAATACGTAGTTGTGCATAAAAAATTGTTAACACCTTAATAATCAACAAGGAAAGTTGAGGGTAGCAATGAAATAGTTGATGGTTTGTTAGTTATTAAATAGCGTAGTTATGAATTAGATTATTATTAGTTTCCAAACTTATCCCTCCACTAAGTTGTAAATTATTTAAAGTTGTGTGTATAATCTTTGGAATATGATTGAGATTTTTTCAAATGGGACTAATATAGGGATAGAATACTAGAATTTTTTATGTTAAATAATAGTAATAGATAATATATATAGGCTCTGTTTGGCAAAACTAGCCGAAAGCTGTGAGATTATAGCTGAAAGCTGTGAAATTGTAGCTGAAAGCTGATAGCTATGTAGCTAGCTGATTGACTAGAGCTGTTTGGCAAAAGAAGCTGTACAACTAGCTTAAATTTATTAAATGACTAAAAAGAACATGCAATATTATTAATATAAAATTAGAATTATTATGGGCAAAAACGGAAGAAGAAAAATTGACAGCTCTTTCGCAAAGACAAACGCTACTTGAGGTAGCTTTCCAAAAGCTACTTGCAAAAGACACAATCTCCAAAATAATCTCCTTCTATTTTTTATCACTAAACAGCTCTACTAGCTTATTGACCAAGTCAATAAGACACAATCTCTTAGATAAGACACAATCTCTTGTTGCCAAACAGTGCCCTAATGTCATATTGTTTGGTTGCAACTAATGAGCTGTTTGGTTCACTTATTTTACAGAATTTTTTTGGGAAAATGTCTGACAGTGACATTTTTATAAATAATAGTTTTCTGTAGGCTTCTTTAAACTCTATTTGGTTTACTCAAAATTTATAGATATTATCTTTATAAAGTTGATTTTCCTCTTCATATTTTGAACCAAACAAAAAAAGTAAAAAACAAGAAAACAACAATTCTATAAACTTTTCTTATAATTTTTTATAAAGATACATGAAAATTAAATTTTAGGTACTTTTACTTTTCATTTTTTAAGGAAAAATTGCTTGAAGGAACTAAATATAATTGGACTATGCATCCTCCCATAGGGTTTTTGACTTTGTTTAATGGGGTTTTTCAGTTTGAGAAGGTTGCAGAGGGGTTTTTCTGTACCTTTTGTACCGATGGCCACCAACCGGAAGACGGTAAAAGAGGAGATTTGTTCATACGTTTATTTGCATATATATACCCCTAATTGATGGGCATTTGGAACGTATCCTCCAAATCTTAATGTTTGCAAAACCACCCCTCAAATCA